CAGAAACACACTTAAGTTCCCAGGTGATTCTATACTACAGTCACCCGCCCCTTTTGAAGACATGGAAAGGGGGAGGGGAGGAATGTGTAAATGTTATTCTCCATCTTTGTGTGCAGAACAGCTGTGCAAACTGTGCCCTTGCGGTTAAATTGGTGTTTATTGTTGAGGGATTACCGCATGGCTCTTTAGTCCTTCTCTTCAAATTTCAAAATTTCTCTTTGCTCTCCAGCAAATATATTCAGAAGCTTGCGGAGTTGCAAAGCTCCAGTGGTGATCTTTCTTCTTGGGCCTGGGCCTCTGCTCTGGAGGGGCAGTTGAAGGGTTTACCCAGCAAAGCAAATGCTAACGATACTCGATTCTTTCACTGGGTGCAGATTAAAAGGGAAACAATGAGTTGTGTTTGGACAGATGGGTTTAGGCCAGGGATACTTAAATACGCTCTTGCATACATACACACTTGTAGATCAATGACATTGTTATTACGTCGTAACCCTGTAAATATGTTGTGGTACATGATAGATTAGTATATTGCTTAATACTTGTTGTAAGAGGCTTCTTACTATTAGCAATGACATACAGGACTTGTATGCCAAGCCTTCAACTAGGTGGCTAGTTTAACAAGAACTCAGCTACAGTATAAGTAAGCAACAGTCAATGAGAACAGCCAAAAATACTGTCCTAACAAGGGTTTAGTGGCTTAAAAACCAGTTGAGTCAGTAAATGGAGAGGATTTGTTTAGAAGTACCCAAATGATCCATGAACTGAGATTTTCCAGTGGCCTTGCCTCTGTCTACAACACTGTGGGAATCAAAGCCAATGGGAACAGTCTTTTACAATCCAGTGAGACAGCAAGTCACATGCCACATCACTGCTTCCAGCTGCATGCTGTATGTTGTCATGGCCATTATGTGTTACTAGGCTAGCAGATTCTTAATTGCTCAGTTAACTACCAGGAGAGGTGATGAAGTTGGTTTTAAACCCTCAATTATTTCAATTCCAAGGTGGTGCAGGAAGAACCAAGCGGGAGGGATTGTTTGCTTGCAAGTGTGCGTGTAGGAACAGCTGATTCACTGATTTGACGTGCAGGAAAAGGATGCATGACTGCATACATCTATGCCATTTATTAATAGTCGCACGAAACAGAAGAAGATTGTTTTGCGGAAACCTTGAAAAAATGGTCACTGCTGGCACAAAGCTAAAGTGTTCCACCGATGCCACCACTCCCAGCGACAGCTCTGATGTGGCGGGCACACCGTTTCCAAAGTCAACTAGAGCCTCAGGCTAAAGTGAAATACAAGTACGATAACAAAAGATCAGCTCATTTGACTAATCTCTGATGTTTCCTTCTCTTCCTGTCTCTCAGGTCAAGCTCCAGGGTTTGTCAACTTTCTCATCTCCAAGGAAGGCGGTGAAATGTCTCTAGTGGAGCAAGCCAACGTCTGGCTCTTTCTTCGACTGCCAAAGGGCAACCGCACCCGAGCTAACGTCACCATCCGACTGCTCCTGCAGCAAAGTACGGGGGAAAAGGTTCTGGCAGAAAAATCCGTGGACACGCGACGCAGTGGCTGGCATACATTTCCCGTTTCGGCCAGCGTGCAGGCGTTGTTGCAGCATGGGGGAAGCACGCTGAGTCTGCGTGTCTCCTGCCCATTGTGTGCTGATGCTCGAGCTACGCCGGTGCTCGTGACTCCAAGGGGCGGCGAGCGTGAGCAATCCCACCGGCCATTCCTCATGGCCGTGGTGCGACAGATGGACGATCTGTCCCAAAGGAGACGTAGCAAAAGAGGCCTGGAGTGCGACGGCAAGGTACGCGTCTGCTGCAAACGCCAATTTTATGTAAACTTCAAAGACATTGGCTGGAACGACTGGATCATTGCTCCCTCGGGGTATCACGCCAACTACTGCGAGGGCGACTGTCCCAGCCATGTGGCCAGCATCACCGGAAACTCGCTGTCCTTCCACTCCACGGTCATCAACCACTACCGCATGCGAGGGTACAGTCCCTTCACCAACATCAAGTCCTGTTGCGTGCCGACTCGTCTGCGGGCCATGTCCATGCTCTACTACAACGAGGAGCAGAAAATCGTCAAAAAGGACATCCAGAACATGATTGTAGAAGAATGCGGCTGCTCGTAATTCCGCTTCAGGAAGAGGAAGGGTAGGAAGGGAGAGACAAGGTTGGGTGGTAGGGGCGAAAACTGCAGCCCCAAAACGAATGAAAAAGAAGAGATGTAGAGAGAGGAGAGGAGAGCTCCTCTATCTTTTAGAATCCGATGGGTATCACGTTACAATGGGTATCTGTAACTCAGAGTAATCTCTGTGGCACTTTCAAAAGAGAAAAGAAATATAATATATTTTTGTTACAAAGCAAAGGGAGCAAGGTCAGAGAGTATTTATGCGGCCTACTTTGCAGCGCAGACATGCACTGCAGGAAGAGAGATGATGTAGATGAGGTGCCTGAAAAAGAAAATCTCAAAACTATGCAACTTGTCAAGTATTATGATATATTTTTCATTGAGGTGTTGTTTGGTTTCTTAACTATTTACTTTTACAAACTAAAAAAAAAGTTAACGTTTGTTGACTTTTTATACCTTGTACGTATGTTTTATGTATATGTTCGATGTGTGTGTCCGTGTACAAAACTGCGTACATGTATGTACAGTGTGCCTACGGGAGTATTCGTGTACGTTTGTGTGCATGTCTGTTCGTGTGTGTTGTTGAGAGATACTTGAAAGAAGTTTGACGGGCTGCTGGAACCAAACATTTCTCTATATTATTATTCTAATTATTCTGTTAATAATGTTATTTTGTTTAGATTTCTGTACATTTTTTGTTATCTTATAAAATGAGACGTTAAAACGTTTACAGTTTTGCACTATATCAACATTTTGATCAGCGTAGCCACATATACAAATATGTTTATAGAGAAAGACTAGAAGCACTTCAGAACAGACATACCTACATAGCATGAGTCTAACAAATGAGATTGTTAAAAATAAACAGGGAGGTTTGAGGGGAAGTCAGAGATGATTAGCATATCAGAGGACCATGTATACACATGCATTTTACAAAATAGTGTATTGGTTTTTTACTCAACACCAAAGAATTTAGGTTAGTGTTGCCTACCATATTAGGCTGTCTCCGAACAGTTGTTCAGAAGATACCAATTTGTCTTTCAGAAGATTGCTTTGTTCTCCCTACAAAGATGTCCAGGTTAGCAAACCGAAAGACCTTTAAAACCGTTTCTCAATGTCCCACAGCAGCACCCTCCTGTGTGTGCTTTTGCACTGCTGCACAGTCCATGCGCGACTGGCCATCTAAATGGTTAAACAGCACTTAAACCAACCTTTTAAAGTTTGTTTTTAATTATGAATTGTTACAAAAGTGAATGCGCAGCATTAATATTTAATGACTTGTGCAATTGGGAAATGAATAACCATTTAGGTATTTAGCGATTTTTCTCACCAAATGTTAAAAGGATCTGCAGTGATCCAAAAAAAAAAAAATGCTTTTGTTTTGCAGATGTTCATATTTCCGCTTCCCAACATGAAATATTTTACCACTGTGCAATGTTGAAAAAAAATGAAGCAATCTGGGAAAAGAAAAGATTTTGTGTTATATTTCGGACTAAGAAAAGTGTACTATTTTCAGTATGTTCCTGATGGGAATGCGTACAAAATGTCATAAAAGAAAAACACTATTAAAATGGAAAAGAAAAATACAAATTCAGAAAAAAATATATATGTATAAAGAAAGACATGTTGTATATGTTTTTGTTTGTTCGTTCGTTGTTATTAAAAAAATAATTGACACTGAAATAAGTGGACTAAGAATAAAAAATATATTTTTTATTCTGTAAATATGGAAATCAAGATACCAATATGTTGCATTGCTTTGTTGTACAAATCAAAAATGTGCTTGTGGCAATTTTTTTTTAATCTAATTTATTCTACAGTATTTTGTCCTTTGCTTCACCATTAAAGTTAAAATGTTGTACACTAAAACATGAGAAAAGTGTTGGTTGTGATTTCTTGCACAGAACACATAAACACATTTCATTTCAAGACACGAAAAATATGGAGAAATTATAAGATACAAGAAATGTGTAAGTAAAACAGTACTAACAAAGCACAAGCCCTACAATATACAATCAGAGAACAGTTTACAGGACAAAATCAGAAGCATCCAAAAGCCACCTAAGAGAAGACTAGAGGAAAAAAGGAGGACCGTTTGCATGCTAAATTATGATTATCAGGAAAGAGAACCAGATGGTGTCTATATAAAGCATGTTGCATGCAGAGGTTTGAGTTAAATCACGGTGGTTTTGGAGGAGGTGGACCAGCCATCATGAACCATTACTGGTGTATGACACATAACCACAGCATCCCCCCAAGACGCATGCACACACACATGCAAGAAAACATCAACAGCCTCACAAACTCCAGACCCTTCAGAAGCATTTCACACACCTCCTCTGTCCTAAAATGAAAAAGATACTAGTTTAGATGACATGAAGTAGTGTGTTGGAGTTCCTGGTTAAATCAGAGCTGTCTCAGGCTAATGACAGAGAGGAGCAAACGGCTGGCAGTGATAATAATCAAAGAGCTGCAGCGACGGCATGCAGGGGCTCAGAGTCTGCGGCCAGCAAAACAGAGGATGCTCATTCATTTAAAATGCACTTTTTAAAAATAGTGCAAGTGCTGCATGCTAAGGTAAGCATTGGGGTGTCATGCATTTTTTTCTTTTCTTTTTCTTTTGAGGGGGCATCAGTGGCAGTCCTGGCAAATTTGATGCCCCAGGCAAGACATGACAGAAGACTAAAGAGTTAGATATTTTTGCACTTTTAAAGTTCGAGGTACATCTTCTGAATAGCATGAAAGGGAACCTGGGTTCAATTGCCAACATTTTTTATTTTATTTTAAATAAGCAAAATGTAACAGCTGAACTTGACAGTCATCACTATATAGCAGCGTTGACATTTTGTTCCACAGAAAAAAAAAAAGGCATAGTAGTTTTAAATGACGTGAGGGCATAGATGGTGACAGAATTTCAAGTTTAAAGGACATGATGGTAACACTTTCCATGAAGCCAAGCCCGTATTCATAATACATTATAAGGGTATTCTTGAGGCATTATAATGAATGTATAATGCATTATATAAAAAAAATGTAACAGCTGAACTTGACAGTCATCACTATATAGCAGCGTTGACATTTTGTTCCACAGAAAAAAAAAAAGTCATAGTAGTTTTAAATGACGTGAGGGCATAGATGGTGACAGAATTTCAAGTTTAAAGGACATGATGGTAACACTTTCCATGAAGCCAAGCCCGTATTCATAATACATTATAAGGGTATTCTTGAGGCATTATAATGAATGTATAATGCATTATATAAAAAAAAAAAAATATGTTGTTTCTTCCCATAATCATAACTACAATTATAAAACATTATAATACTTACTTATTCACTTTTAAGGGTATGACACAATGAGCACCATGTTAAATCCACTTAATTTCTAAAAGTCTCATATCCTAATATTTTAAATTGAAGATCTGCACAGTATCTTACTACATCTCGTGAGTGGTTAGGAGTGGCTAAGTGTTTTGATGTGAGCTGATTTAAGCTCAGTTGTAATACTTTTTAGTAGCAGACTTAGGTTAAGGTTAGGGTTGGTAGAATCAGTTGACATACTTGTAAAGTTACTTATAGTCAGTACAATATCTGTTTGAGAAACATCGAAATAAATTATTGGCAGATATTTAGCAGACACACTATAATATGACTGGTAATTGACATGGAGTTTCAAAGTCACTTATCAACAGTTGTCTAAAGGGCACCATCAAAATAATCAAACTGATATTGCAATAAAAAAAGTTCAAAACAAATATATCATACTGATATCTGATGTTTGAGAAAAATTCTTTCTCTTATTATTATTATTATTTATATTTGGTCTTTGTCTGCTTTAAGTAAAGTAAGCCTTTTGGATGTTTTCATGAATGACACTAAGAAAATGTACTAAGTTATTGTAAAGAGCTTAAACAATGGCAATATATGAGACTTATAATGCATTATAACTGTGGGAAATATAATCCATTGTAACTTAAGTGGATGCAACGTGTTCATTGTGTGTTATAAATCATCACACTCTAAAAGCTATAATCACAAATAAGTAATTATTATAATGTATTAAAACTGTTGTCATGATTATACATGAGATGATACAACATATTATGTTTTTTTTTACAATGCATTATGCATTCATTATAATGCCTCAAGAATACCCTTATAATGCATTATAAATATGGGCTTCATAGAAAGTGTTACCCAAATGATTTATGGAACGTGCAGCATGATTCGACTGAACAAGTTTAGACATGTGAATGTGATTTCTCTCACAGTGTTAGACAAACATTTTGTTGTTGTTGTTTTAACCTTCATGTTGTGTTCTGGTCATTTTGACCCAGAGAGGATTTTCTTTTTCCCGTAAATGTTAGCTAATGTTATCACTCTTCTTCTTTCTTTCTTTCTTGGGCTAAAACTCACACAGGTTATACTTCACTTTTTTTTCTTTTTTCTTCTTTTTTTTATAATTTTTGTATTTTGGGGGGATTTTTTCATGTTCACATTTGGACATGTGTGCTTGCAAACATAAAGGCCTCGGACCTGTGCATGCATGGATACACATATATTCATGCTACCACACACACAAACACACACACACACACAAGTTCACGTACACCAAAGCACTATTACAGTCTTTATTTTACACGGAGATGAACTTTATCCTCAGAACAATGAGGCCTACGATCCATCAGTTTCAAAAAGACATACAAACCCTGTCCGAATTGAAAGAAAGCAAGTTGACAAAAAGTTTTAACCCAGTATTTGGTGATAATATAGCATAACAAAGTTTATAAGCTATTGTAGGCCAATCATTTTTAACCGGGAACATCACAAGGATGACTTTGTTCCATTTTTTTATAAAGAAAAAGCATTTCAAAAAGCAGTTTACAATTTACAGTAAATGCAATTTCAAATGCAT